TCATGCCTTTTTGTTGCTGAGTAGAATTCTAAATGGATATAACTCATATTGTTTACCATTTACTAATTGATATACATTTGGGTCTGTCACATTTTTGGCTGTTCTGAATAATGTTGTTATGAACATTTGTATACAAGTCTTCTGTGGACATAAACTTTCATTTCACATGAATAAATATGTAATAGTAGAATTGCTGGATTATATGGTAAATCTGTATTTAACATTTTAAGAAACTGGCAAACTGTTTTCCAGAGCAACTATACCATTTTATATTTCCACAGTAGTGTATGAGGTTTCTAGTTTCTCTACATCTTTCTCAACACTTATCTGTTGTTTTTATTATAGCCATTCTAGTGATTGTGAAGTAGTATCTCATTGTGGTTTTGACTTGCAATTTTTTAAGATGTAAAGTCCTTCACTCTTTAAAAAAAGGCAACATTGTATGTTCTTTAAAAAAAACTGTTTTAGTCTATGAAGAAATGAATATTTTTCTATATAAAAGGGAGATAGACTGTCAATAAATGTTATCTTCTAAAGGCAAAATATTTAAATTCTATAGATTTAAAAAATTGTCTGTGTGTGTGTGTGTGTGTGTGTGTGTGTAATCAGGGTTAATTTATGAGTAAAGGATTCTGGTAGTCTGTACTAGAAAAGGTTGAACTAAAGACAGAAGGTAAAAGCTGTTTCAACTAATTATCACTTTTACATAGTATTGAATGGACTTATTCATTCAATATGTACATATAGAGCACTTTGTATGTGCCAGGTGGTGGTGTAGGCCCAGGGAATGTAAAAATGAAAGCAAGCAAGATACCATTTTTCAAAGAGTTTATATTCTAGTAGAGAAGACATATGCTAAACAGACATATACTATATATCTAGTAGTAGCAAGTATTATCAAGAAAAATGGTAGGGAAGGGTAAGGAGATAGGGAAGTGAAGTTAGGTACTATTTTAGAGTATGGGTCAGGGAAAGTCACTAAGGAAGCAAACCATCCTATCTAATAAAGAGAGAATATGCAAATTGACCACCACACCATCACAAAGATGGCGGCACCCATAGCCACACGATGATGGCACCCAGTCCCTTCAGCCCCGCCGGAGTCCCCCAGTCCTTTCAGCCCCGCCAGTGGGGTGGCAGGCACGTGGTGCGGCCAGACCTGCCTTCAGCCCCCCAGCTGCCCAGGGCCAGCCTGAGGCAAGGCAAGCCTTGGATGTTGGCTGCCCAGCTGATGCCCGAGGTGCAGGCAAGCCTCGGATGTCGGCTGCCCAGCCACTCAGGGCGGGCCCGAGGCACAGGCAAGCCTCACATGGTGGCTGCCCTGCTGAAAGGGTCGCCTCCCGCCCCGAAGGCTCCCGGACTGTGAGAGGGGGCAGAGCGGGCTGAGGGACCCCCACTCCAGTGCATGAATTTTCATGCACCAGGCCTCTAGTAAGAATATATGAGGGGAAAGCATTCCTCAGGTACAGAGTACCACAAATACACAGAGCCTTGTGATGAGAAATTTTATCATCCATCCTCCAATGATTAGGCAAATTTGGGCCTAAAATAAGCATAAAACATCTTTGGTACATTAGAACAAAGGACTTAACTTAAAACCTGTATTTTTTATTTTTTAAGAAATATGTTTTTATTGATTCAGAGAGAGGAAGGGACAGGGAGAGAGAGAGAGAGAGAGAGAGAGAGAGAGAGAGAGAGAGAGAGAAAAACATCAGAGAGAGAAGCATCAATGAGAGAAATGTCCATCAGCAGCCTTCTGCACGCCCCCTACTGGGGATCAAGCCTGCAACCCAGGTATGTGCCATGACCGGGAATTGAACCAGCGACCTCCTGGTACATGGGTTGATATTCAACCACTGAACCACACCAGCCGGGCAACCTGTATATTTTTTAAATGTGGAATTATAATTTCTGCTTAAAAAATCATCCTATATAATAAAAGCCCAGCGACAGAATGGCGGCACGACCAGTCAACCAGTCGCTATGGTGCGCACTGACCACCAGGGGGTAGACACTCAAAGCAAGAGCTGCCCCCTGGTGGTCAGTGCACTCCCACAATGTGAGTATCTGCTCAGAGGGAGGGTCCACAGCTGCTCGGCTGACCAGGATGAGCGGCAGTCCCATAGCAGGCCCATCCCCACAGGCCACGCCCCCCCACCAGTGCACGAATCCTGTGCACTGGGCCTCTAGTCTATAATAAAGGCGTAATATGCTAATTAGACCGGACAGCCGAACAGCCTTCCGGACATCCTTCCGGAAGTCCTTCCAGATGAAGCCACAGTGGTGGGGACCGAGGCAGAGGCAGTTAGGGGTGATTAGGCAGGCAGATGAGCAGTTAGGAGTGATCAGGCAGGCAGGCAGGCGAGCAGTTAGGAGCCAGCGGTCCTGGATTGTGAGAGGGATGTCCAACTGCCTGTGGGATTGGGCCTAAACTGGCAGTTAGACATCCCCTGAGGGGTCCCGGATTGCAAGAGGGTGCAGGCCGGGCTGAGGGAGACCCGCACCACCCCCATGCACGAATTTCATGCACCAGGCCTTTAGTATAATATAAATGAGATACTGAATATAAAGCATCTCTAGTTCCATATTAAGTGATAAAATGGTGGTAACTGTCATTTTATTGGAAATTGTTATTGTCACACCACCCATTTTAAGCTTTCAAAATTAGTTTTCAGATTAGTATTCTTTTATTTTTTTAAATATATTTTTATTGATTCCAGAGAGGAAGGAAGAGGGAAAGAAAGATAGAAACATCCATGATGAGAGGGAATCATGGATTGGCCGCCTCCTGCAAGTCCCCCACTGGGGACCGAGCCCACAAGCCAGGCATGTGCCCCTGACCGGAATTGAACCCGGGATCTTTCAGTTCGCAGGCCGACACTCTATCCACTGAGCCAAACCGGCCAGGGCTCAAATTAGTATTCTTTAGTAATGTTTGTTTTCTGTATCTTTTAAAATTTGTAAAATCTTAAATCAGTTACTAATGCTTTAGGAATGTTATAATCTTCCTGAAATAGGACCATTACCTCACCTTTAGGCTATTATCCTTTAATTATTATTCTGTTTATTTTTAACATATGAATGACATTAGAGACCTCTTTCTCTAATTACTTTTATTTCTCAAGGTTCCTTTGTGAGAAAGGCAACTTCATATTATTTTATTTATTTGTATTAAGCATTTTTTTTGGGGGGGGGGTTGTTTTGTTAATCCTCACCAGAGGTTAGTTTTTCATTGATTTTTTAGAGAGAGTGGAAGGGAAGGAGGGGGGGAGTGAGGGAGGGTGAGAGAGAGAGAGGGAGAGGCAGAGAGAGAGAGAGAGAGAGAGAGAGAGATAGAAAGAAAGAAACATTGATGTGAGGGCCAGGGATTGAGCCTGCAAATGAGGTAAGTGCCCTTGCCCAGAATTGAACCCAGGCCCTTTAGTCCGAGGGCCGATGTTCTATCCACTGAGCAAAACCGGCTAGGGCAACTTCATATTTATTGATGAGTTAGAGTCCAAAAAGTTGACTTTTTATAGATTGTGTAATAATCAGGTTGCATCTTTTGACAGAAACAATGGTCTACCTAATAGTAATTAATTTCCAGTGGTCTTAGTTGGTTTGTTTTTTGCCTCATTTGTGTTTCATGGATACAGTTTGTTCTTATCTTTTAAGGATTTTTTTAAAGTCAGATTTATTGAGATGTAATATACATCTAATAAAATTTTACACGGTTTATATTGCATGGTTTTGACAGTTGGGTAACTGCCACCATAATCAAGATATAAAAGTTTTTTGTGAGCTTTGGTCATCGCTAATGTCAATATTTTTAGATAGATATCTATGGATGTATATGTTTCCCTCTGGAATTGAGCTTCTGCCCTCTTTTCTGAAGTCTATAAGCCTGGCTGCAGGCCTCTGTGAGGCAAGTGGTAGAATAAAGGTTAGAAGTCTCAGTATTTACTATGTAAACTTTCACTTGTTCCTCTTCCCCACCCCCGTTTATAATATGTTCCTTGCACCCTCATTCATGACTGGTGTTTCCCATCCCAAAGACTGTGTTTTAAATTTTCCATACTATAAAACTAGTCTTTTACTGGAATGGTGAAGGGGATGTAGGGATGGATCTAGGTGTCTTGAATGGATATTCATTTTACTTGTTCTTAAGTCCACCTTTATCCTCATATAGTGAGGTCCTCAGTATTGCCAATTACTGAACCTTTTGGGGATTCTCCTTTTCACCTTTCCTTGCTGCTGATTTAGGATTTAGCTTTCTCAGATCTGCCAAGTCATTTATCACTTCTGCTTTGCCATTTGCAAAATGTTGTTGCCATCATTTCCTCTTCTTTATCTTTATGGGTTTTATGTGTTTAAAAACTTTTTCTGTAATTGTAATGGGATCTCAGGGAAGAGTGGAAGTGTTTAGTCTGCTATTTTTAAATGTCTCTCTTCCTTAAAAAAAAAAAGCCTTGACCAGTGTTGGTTGTTCAGTTGGTTGGAGCATTGTTCTGTATACCGAAAAGTTGCTGGTTCAATTCCTGGTCAGGCCACATACCTAAGTTGCAGGTTCAATCCTGGATCTCTCTCTCTCTCTCTCTCTCTCTCTGTCTTTCTCTCATCCCTTCTCTCTAAAGTCAATAAGCATATCCTCAGGTGAGGATTAAAAATAAAAAGTTTACCTCATGAACAAACCCTTTATGATCTAGATTCTGCCTATCTCTTCCAGCCTAATTTCTCACTGTGCTGTAATCCACCCCCAGCCTAAGCTCCAGTCACATGCATCTGCTTAAGATAATGCCAGACAAACTATGTTGCTTCATTCCTTTCAATTCTGCACATGCTGTTTGTTCTTTAAGACTTTCCTCAGTGAAGTTTTGCTCACTCATATGGATGCCCCTTAGTCAATGCTTATTGTTGTACTGTAGTTATTTATTTACTTTTTTAAAAGTCTCATCTGAGAGGTTTCTTACCCTGGGGTACATTGGATTATTTTTTTTTAAAGGTAGAAGAAAGCTTTGGAGAACTAGCTACAAGAATGAAAGAAAAATGTAAAGGTTAGGCATAAACAAGTCAGATATATATAGTTTGATTTTGGTTCCTCATTCTGCTGCTTGGGGTGGTATATGTGATTTGGCTCCAAAATTTTAGGCTTCTGTAGATTTGGATGCCATAATTACTACTACTATACACATAGACTTGATTTCATGACCTGTAAATTTAAATTTAATATATGGCTAGTGATATGGAAAATGGGGAGATTGACATTTTGTGGTGGGCCAAAATACATGCCATGTTATTATTACTGGTAGTGTCTAAAAAGAATGAGAACAGAAAGAATCTTAATTTCCTGAAATGCCCTGCTCTGTATTTAAGGTTTTTAAAAGTGTGTAAATTAGAACTATGTTCTCTGCTTTACTTATAAGCCGTTTTTACATAGTGAGCTGTTTTGTATTTTTATATTTGTATTAAGGAAATGATCAGGCTCTTTTGCTTTTTGTATTTTCCATTTATTCTTTTTATTTTGTTGTCTAGGTATTTAAGAGATTATGGCATCTGAAACCCACAATGTTAAAAAACGGAACTTTTATAATAATATTGAGGATCATTCCATTGATCGTCCTAGAAAAAGGATCTCTAATTTCACTAATAAGAACATGAAGGAGGTAAGTCCACAGTTTCTAGGTAACAGGTAAGACAGTATTTTAGTCTATTCAGACTAAGAATACTATGACAGAATACTATAGACTGGGTGGCTTTAAACAACAGAAATTTATTTCTTACAGCTCTAGAGGCTGGGAAGTTCAAGATCAAGGCCCAGACAGATTTGGTGTCTGGTGAAGGCCTATAGATGACTGTCTTTTCACTGTGTCTTACATGGTAGAAGGGTTATGAGAGCTCTCTGGGGTCTTTTATAAGAGCAGTAATCTCATTCATGACCCAGTCACCTCCCAAAAGCCTTGCCTCCTAATAGGATTTCAGCATGAATTTTGGGGAGACACAGGTTTTTCATTTCCTCAGAGACAATTTAAACTATTAGGTGTATGGTTAATTCTGGTTAAATTATTTAAAAAACAAGAGGTACCAATTCTGTTTAACTTGCCAGAATTAAGTAGAATTAATGAAATATTGAAAACTTTGTATTCTGAAAGCTCTAAAAAATTTTTGGCCAGTATACTGTTCTGATAGGATATAATTTTGATATTTTAGTTTAATGTTAAAGAGGAATCTTAAAAGTGTTTTTTGGTCACCATTGTAAGGCATATCAGCACTGATATAATTTCTCTTAAACCACATTAAAATTCAACTTATTAAGTACCCTGTAAATATACCGTAATATGTGACGAGTGGCATAGAAAATAGGGAGATAGATATATCAAAAACATCTCTATACAATGTTGTTGTAACTAATGATTGAGATAAAGCATTAGAACAGAAAAAACTTTAATCTGAAAAACTTAACTGTTGAATCTCAGATTTGTTAATATCAATCACAAAGTTTACATAGCTTTATTTAAAAACTTAAATGTGCTACAACCATCTATTTTAATTTTTTAGGTTAAGAAATCTCCAAAACAGTTGGCTGCTTACATAAATAGGTAAGAGCATCTTTAAAGTTTGTGGGAAACAGCAAATGTTGAAAACTGGATAAGAGTAAAAATGGTGCCCTAACAGGTTTGGCTCAGTGGATAGAGCGTTGGCCTGTGGACTGAAAGGTCCCAGGTTTGATTCCAGTCAAGGGCATGTACCTTGGTTGCGGGCACATCCCCAGTAGGGGGTGTGCAGGAGGCAGCTGATTGATGTTTCTCTCTCATCGATGTTTCTAACTTTATCCCTCTCCCTTCCTTTTTATAAAAAATCAATAAAATATATATATTTTTTAAATGGGGAAAAAAGTATTCCCTTTTATTATAATAATTAACTTATTCTCAAACATTTCCTTTTTGCTAGTCACTGTACTAAACACATCAGTATTATCTTTAACTAGAGGCCCAGCGCGTGAAATCGTGTGGGACTCCAGACCCGCCGCACCACGAGACCCGGACCCATCAATACACCTCCTGGTGACCGGTCATTTGGTCATTATGGTGTTACGGCATTACGACCACTGGCCTTTTATAATATAGATACTTACCACAGTCCTACTGGGTAGGTTTCATTGCCTCCTAACAATTGATGAGGAAAACTAAAGATCGGAGAAGTTAAGTGATTTATTCAGGATTATGCACCCAGAAAGTGGTAGAAATGACATTCATTCTCAGATCTACCAAACTTTCTAATAAACCACTGTTTCTCAAAGTGTGATCTGAGGACCCTGGAGGTTCCTGAAGCCCTTTCAGGGAGTTTTTGAGGTTATTATATTCATATCAATACTAAGACATTATTCACCTTTTTCATATTTATTCTCTTACAAGTGTGTAGTAGAGTTTTCCATAGGCTACATTTAATATCACAATAGATTGAATGGAGAAGGAAATAATGAGAATCCATCTGTCTTCTGTTAAATAAGATATTAGATATTTGTAAAGATGTAGAATAGTGCCATTCTTCTCACTAGGTGTGTGTGTTTGTATGTATGATTTTATAAAAATATTCTATGTGAGCCCTGCCGATATGGCTCAGTTGTTTGGGAATCATCCTATGCACCAAAAAGGTTGCTGGTTCAATTCTCAGTCAGGGCACATGCCTGGATCCCTGTTTAAGGGAATTGATGTTCCACTTTCACATCAGTCTTTCTCTTTTTGTCTCCCTTCCTCTCTCTCTAAAAATCAGTAAAAATATTTTTTTAAATGTGTTAATCAGTAACAAGTCTATTATTTTTTAAATTAACCCATTTTCTCAGTTTTAGTTCCTAATACAGTAAGTATCAATAAATATTTCCCACATAAAAAAATTATTTTGAGACCTCAAGAATTTAAAATTTTTTTAAATTAAATTTTTTGGGGTGAATTGGTTAATAAAATTACATAGGTTGGTTTCAAGTGTTCAATTCTAATACATTATCTGTATATTGCATTGTGTGCTCACCACCCAAAGTCTATTGTTCTTCCTTCACCAACTCCCTTTATCCTTTACTACCTTCCCACCCGCCCCCCTTTTCCTCTGGTAACCACTATACTGTTATCTATGTCTATAGTTTTGTTTGTTTGTTCATTTGTTGTTTTCAGTTTTATATCCCACATATGAGTGAATTCATATGGTTCTTGACTTTTTCCATATGACTTATTTTGCATAGCATGATATTCCCAAGATTCATCCATGTTGTCAGGAATGGCGGTATTTCATCTTTTCTTGTGACTGAGTAGTATTTCATTGTATAAATGTACAACAGCTTCTTTATCAAATCATCTCTCGAAGGACATTTCCGTTGTTTCCTTATCTTCGCCACCGTGAATAATGCTGCACTGAACATGGAGTACATATATCTTTTAGAATAAATTAAGTTTTTAGATACCCAGAAGAGGGGTTGCTGGATCATAGGATAACTCTATTCTTAGTTTTTTTGGGAACGTCCATAGTGTTTTCCATAGTAGCTGTACCAGTTTACATTCCCTCTAGCAGTGAATAAGGATATCTTTTTTTTAAAAATATATATATTTTATTGATTTTTTACAGAGAGGAAGGGAGAGGGATAGAGAGTTAGAAACACTCATGAGAGAGAAACATCGATCAGCTACCTCCTGCACATCCCCTACTGGGGATGTGCCCGCAACCAAGGTACATGCCCTTGACCAGAATCGAACTTGGGACTCTTCAGTCCACAGGCCGATGCTCTAGCCACTGAGCCAAACTGGTCAGGGCGAATAAGGGTATCTTTTTCTCTCCAACCTCTCCAACACTTGTTATTACTTGTCTTGTTAATAGCCATCCTAACAGGTGTGAGGTGGTATCTCATTGTAGTTTTGATTTGCGTTTTCCTAATATCTAGTGAAATTGAACATCTTTTCATATATCTGTTGGCCATTTCTATGTCTTCTTGGGAGAAGTGTCTGTTCAGGAGACTTCAACAATTTTTAAGAGTGCAAAGCATCCTGAGGCCAAAACTTTTGAAAACCACTATACTAAACCATGAGATGTGTTCTTTTGTGGTTTCTTATTCAAATAAAATTAAGTATACTTTAACTTAATAAAAATAAACTTTAAAATATTCAAATATGTATAATTATTTGTCACTTTGTTAGAAAAAGTTTAGGTGATTAGAAACTGTTATAATTTTCTTCCTCCAAAAATGGCCTGTAATATTTCATTTTAAAAACATCTAGTTATTATGCCTCTTTATTTTCATTTGGTATAAAGTATCGTCCTGTTCATTGCTTTTCAGATGGTTTGTAATTTCCCTCTTTAATCTAAAATTTAAGATTTTTTAAAAATTCTGTTTACTTCTAATTTTACTGGATTGTAATCACTAAATGGGGCCTATTAAATCTTTCTGTTTAAAAACTTTTAAAGGTTTTCATGTGGATCTTTTTCATTTTTACAGAACAGTTGGACACGCTGTTAAGAGCCCAGATAAACTACGTAAGGTGATCTACCACAGAAAGAAAGTTCATTATCCTTTTCCAAATTCTTGTTTTAAAAAGAAACAGTCCCCTAGAAGTGGGAGCTGTGACATGCAAATAAAGAAAATGAACTGGCTTGTGCAGACCACCTGCCTGAAAAATTACACCATGATAGTCAAACATATTTGCCTAACTCCAGTGATTCTGGTTCTTCACAGACAGAAAGCGCATCATCAAAATACAGTGGTTTTTTTTCTGAGGTAAGTTAAGTTTGTAAACTTAACTTTATTCTTGCTATACTCTTGTTTTTTTTCTTTGCCATATTCTGCTATTTGAATAATTGTCACCCATTGAATTCAGATTTATTTGAATGATCGTAACTCCTGACACAATTTTCCTGATTAACCAAATTTGACTCAGTAGTTTATTTCATTTCTCTTAAGTTAGTGATATCTGAGGTGACTTCAAATGATTGACAAGCTGCTGTAAATACCCAGAATGACAGGTTGGCCAGTAGAGATTTAAAGGAAGGTAAAAGGAATCTTGCTTACAAAGTAGACCACCAGCCTGGCTGGCGTGGCTTAGTGGTTGAGTGTCGACCTATGAACCAGGAGGTTACGGTTTGATTCCCATTCAGGGCACATGCCTGGATTGTGGGCTTGATCCCCCATGGTGGGTGTAAAAGAGGCAGCTGATCATAGATTCTCTCTCATCATTGGTGTTTCTACCTCCCTCTCCCTCTCCCTTCCTCTGAAATCAATAAAAATGTATTTTTTAAAAAAGTGGATCACCAAAACAAGTTATTCAAACACATTTTGTTGGGCTCTCAAAATTACCTAGTAGAAGTTTTATTTTGGCAAACCTACTAAGGTATGCTGTTCTTCTGGCTCTGGCAAAATTAGTTATTCGAATAGGCTCAAGGGAATTTTGAGGGAATGATAAAAACATTCTAAAACTGGATTGTTATGATGGTGGCACAACTCTGTAAATTCGTTATAATAATATTGAATCACACACTTTTTTAAAAAAAATATATATTTTATTGTTTTTTTACAGAGAGGAAGGGAGAGAGATAGAGAGTTAGAAACATCGATGAGAGAGAAACATCGATCAGCTGCCTCCTGCACATCTCCTACTGGGGATGTGCCCGCAACCCAGGTACATGCCCTTGACCGGAATCGAACCTGGGACCTTTCAGTCCGCAGGCCGACGCTCTATCCACTGAGCCAAACCGGTTTCAGCTGAATCACATACTTTTAATGGATGAGTTTTATGGTCTGTAACTGATATCTCAAGAAAGTCACTTTTTATAAGAATCATTTAAAAAAATGGTTTAATAAAATTGGTAAACACACATGAATTTATAATAATTATTACTTGTTTATTGTATATGTTGTAGAAAATAAACCCAAAGGAAAAAATTATCCATAATCTCAACATTTGGAAATAACAGTATTAAATTTTATTTATTTATTTATTATTTTCAAAATAAATTTTTGATTTCAGAGGAAGTGAGAGAGAGAGAGAGAGAGAGAGAGAAACATCAATGATGAGAGAGAATCATTGATGGGCTGCCTCCTGCATGCCCCACACAGGGGATTGAGCCCCTAGCCTGGGCATGTGCCCTGACTGGGAATCGAACCGTGACCTCCTGTTTCGTAGCTCGATGCTCAACTGCTGAGCCATGCCAGTTGAGCTTTATTTATTTATTTATAACAAAGCAAAACATTTTTTTTTCACTCTAAGAAGGATTTTAACAGAAACAGTATACCTGAATGACACGTATATGTGAGTTTAAATTTAAGAACAATATACACTACACAATGCGTAATTGTTATTAGTGTGTAACATACTATGGGTGAACTAAAAACGATTTATTTTATAAATTATTGATATTTAAAAGAAAAATGGTAGCAAATAAGGGAAAATACTGGTAAAAAAATAAACAGGTCCTAATTGTATTCAGATCCTTTGTTTACAATGCTCAACTGTAATTTATATACAGGCAGTCCTCAGGTTATGTCGTACTCGACGTATGTCATACGTCGTTTTGTGGTTACATTGCCATCTCCCATTTATTTATAAAAAAAAAAAAAAGTTCCGTCATTTCGATGTATGTACATATGTTTTTTATTATTTGTTTACCACAAGTAAAGATCAGGAACTGTTATCTTTCTTTTAAAATTTTTTAATGTTTCACTTCATTACTGCTGTGTATGTGCTCCATGTGAGTGATATAGGTGCTTATGTAGGTGGGTTCCGACTTTCGCGTTATGTCCCACCATAGGAGTGGATCTCTTATGTAACCTGAGGACCTACTGTGTATGTATGTATGTATGTATGTATTTATTTATTTATTTATTCATTTATTTATATGTTTTGTGGGTAAGTAAATGGAGTCACCTTTGTATAATTTTTTTCTTTTTAATTTTTATTGAATTTATTGGTGACTTTGGTTAATAAAATTGTATAGGTTTCAGGTGTGCCTATAATACATTATATGTATGTTGTATTGTGTGCCTACTACCTCAAGTCAAGTCTCCTTCCATCACTATTTATCCATCACAATACCTTCTTCTATCTGCCCCCACCCTCCTTTCCCTCTGGTAATCACCACCTTTGTATAATTTTAAAATATGTCTACCAGAATAATTTAATTAAGAAAATTATTTCATATCATGTTTCAGTGTGCTTTTTAAGAACTTAGATTATTACCTTTCAGGTTTCTCAGGATCATGAAACAATGGCACAAGTTTTGTTCAGCAGGAATTTGAGATTGAATGTAGCTTTAACTTTCTGGAAAAAGAGAAGTATAAGTGAACTTGTAGCTTATTTGGTGAGGTAAGTGTGACCTTTTTGTTCAATAAAAGTAATTTCTAGTATGCTATTTAGAAGTGCCTCTTCTTTTTTGTTATTACTGGCTAAAATTGTAAACTTCTATGTTTAGCTTCAATGGAAACAATATAGTTTAAATTACATTCAACTCCAGTCTAAGAGTAACCAAAATAAAGGAAACCATCAATTTTATCAGACCAAATAAAGCTGTTACCTTCTCTAAGATTCTTATCCATTATACCAAGAGATACCAGTATTGGAAAACTAAACCTTTAAGAATCCCCCTTTAAGTAAAAATTTTAAATATTACCTTCTCAAATGTTACCTTAGTGAGGCCTTCCTTTGCCATCTTATTTAAAAACTAGAGGCCCATCACAAAGAGATTCGTGCAATAGGCCTTCCTTCCCCTGGCTGCTGCCACCGGTTTTCCTCTGGCACCCGGGACCCAGGCCTTCGCTCCGGCCGCAGCAGAGAAGCCAAGCCTCTTCAGTCTTCAGTTGTCTTCAGTCTTCAGTCTTCGCTCCGTGCCTGCATATGCAAATTAACTGCCATCTTTGTTGGGTTAATTTGCATACTCATCCTGATTGGCTGGTGGGCATAGTGGAGTGACACCAATTTGCATGTTTCTCTTTAAGTGTAGATATACATTTTCTTTATTCCCTATCTTCCTTCTGTTTTATTTTTCTCCATAGCACTTAACTACCATCTGCATGTTCTATATATTTTACTTGTGTATATGTTTAATAGAGGCCTGGTGCACAAAAATTGTGCACTCATCAGCCCGGCCTATGCCCTCTCGCAGTCCAGGAGCCCTTGGGGGATGTCCGACTGCTACGAAGGCAGGAGAGGCTCTCGCCAGCTGTGAGCCCGGCTTCTGGCTGAGTGGCACTCCCCCTGTGGGAGCGCAGTGACCACCAGGGGGCAGCTCCTGTGTTGAGCGTCTGCCCCCTGGTGGTCAGTGTGTGTCATAGTGTCCGGTCATTCCGCCATTCGGTCGATTTGCATATTAGCCTTTTATTACATAGGATTGTCTGTCTCTGCCTTCTCCAACCCACCTCCAATTCTCTCTCTCTCTCATACACATACTAGAATGCAAGTCCTATCTCTTTGTTTACTGATGTACCCCCAGCATCTGGCTAATAATACACACTTGGATTATTTGTTGAATGAGTGAATTTCTCAAAGGCAGTGTGAAGGTCCAGGGAGCGGGCCTAAGCCAGCAGTCAGACATCCCCCGAGGGGTCCCAGACTGCGAGAGAGCACAGGCTGGGCTGGGGGACACCCCCCCCCCCCCCCAGTGAACAAATGTCCTGCACTGGGCCTCTAGTATGAAAATAATTGAAGAAATTATCTCTCTAAGTAATGCTATTCTTTTTGTACCCACAGGATAGAAGACCTTGGAGTGGTGGTGGATTGCCTTCCTGTGCTTACCAATAGGTAAAAATTTTTTCAGAAAATAAATTAGTTTAAAAAAGACAAATTATGACCTATTCATATTTTTATGACTTGTATTTATTTTAGTTTACAGGAAGAAAAACAATACATCTCACTCGGCTGCTGTGTAGACTTGTTGTCTCTTGTAAAGTCACTACTTAAAAGCAAATTTGAAGAGTAAGTGCTGATCTGAATCTCAAGTCATTTTTCTTTTTCAACAGTATGTGCCCTGTGAATGCATTAGTAGTAGATTGAGCTCCATAAAACATACATGGTTTCTCTTTTTAAGTTGCTTATAGTCCAGTTAGGAAAAGAATATGAAATGACTGAAGACAATTACAGAAGCATCTATAAACAAGTTATATAAAATACAGTTTTGTGAAATAAACGTTTAGAAGAGGGAAAGGTCAATGTAATATATGTGTTGGGTTATTTTTGAGTAGTGGAAGTATTTTTTTGTAAAGGCTTCTTAGATGAAAATACTTGAATTTTGTAACAAAATGTCGTTTCAGATATATAATAGTTGGTTTAAACTGGCTTCAAGCAGTCATAAAAAGGTGGTGGTCAGAACTCTCGTCCAAAACAGAAATTATAAATGATGGGTGAGTATACCTTTAAGGATAACCTTATGCTTCTAAATTTTATTTTATTTTACTTTTTTTTTTTCAGAGAAGTAGTTGGATTTAACTAGGTGATAATTTTATTCTGTGATCATCAGTATATAATATTCTCTTTATTTTCATGGAAATATTAAATTGGGATACTGTTCATATGTGAAAATTACACATAGAAGTTGAATTTCAGAGCCCAGTAACCTCTTCTTCTAGCAGAATCCTGCTCTTCATTTTAGAAGGAAAAAGTATAGCAGTGATTTAACCATTGTAATGTGTAAGAGAGAGTCTTTAGTGGATAAGTAATGAGGCTCAGGAATGGAGGTATCCTGCAGAGTCCTTTGGCTACCTAGACACTAACCTTAGAATCCAATTCTAAAAACTATATTAAAATCATCACTAGAGGCCCAGTGCACAAAATTCGTGCATGTGGCGGGGGTGGGGGGCGTCCCTCAGCCCGGCCTACACACTCTCCAATCCAGGACCCCTTGGGGGATATCCAACTGCCTGTTTAGGCCCGATCCCGAAACCGGCAGTCGGATATCCCTCTCACAATCCGGGACTGCTGGCTCCTAATCGCTCGCTCGCTTGCCTGCCTGCGTGATTGCCCCTGACTGCCCTCCCCTGCCAGCCTCATTGCCCCCTAACTGCCCTCCCCTGCCTGCCTCATCACCCCTAACTACCTCTGCCTCAGCCCCCACCACCGTGGCTTTGTCCAGAAGGACGTCTGGAAGATGTCTGGTCTAATTAGCATATTACTCTTTTATTAGTATAGATAATTTGAGTATTGCAATTAGATTTAGTATTGCACTTTGAATATTGCAATTCTAAAAATTATATTATAGTCATCATAATTTGAGTATTGCCTTGCTGTGAAAATATGTAGGTATTCTACCAAATGAATAAGATTATTATGAAGCTACTAAAAATATCTCCCAATGGGCTCCTTAAAGTTTATGGTTTTCTTTTTAAACTCTCAAAATGTCCTACTTTATACCCAACAACAAGTTGACTATTAGTAAATGCTTCATGCCTAGTATTCCTATCTGCATTAACAAATACCTTTAATTTCTGTGATTGGCATGTATTATTTTAAAGAGTTGCCTGACTTCAGTAGTATAATATTCTCTGATAAATACTTAAAAAATTTAAAACTATTTTCATTAAATGTATTTACTACCAAAGTTCATATCATATTATATTTGCATTTTCTTTTTTCCTCCTAGAAATATTCAGATTTTAAAACAACAATTAAGCAGATTGTGGGAACAAGAAAACCATCTTACTTTGGTTCCAGGATATACTGGTAATATAGCTAAGGTAATCTATATTTAAGCTTAAAAATTTAAGGTTTAAATCAATATTTAAGCTTAATTAAAATTTAGAAGTAATATGTTAGTATTATGCATTTATAAATGAATTCTTTCAAATCTTGAGGTAAAGTAATTCAGTACTATTCAGTAAGATCTATAGTCAATTTCATATTTGCAAATGCTTATGGTCTTCTGGGTATGGATGTGACTTTGACAGGGAGCACAAAATTACCCATTGAATGTGTTTGATATACAGCCACAGAAATAATGTGCTGGAGGTTGTTTAATGACCTAGTTCCAATCAAAGAAAAATATTTGAAAAAGTTAAAAATCCAGGTAAGGAAGGCATCTGAAGATTAAGTGAGGAATACAATTAAATGGTCTAATTAAATGGTTTGGGGGTGTTATATTTTACTTGACTATTGCTAATATCATGCTCTTTGGGAAAGTACACTGTTCAAATCACAATATGAATTTGATATTGGTCTTTATTGATTTATTTGTCTCTTAAAGGAAAAGGTACATTAGATTTTAATATTTAAACTCCAGAAAATATTGGTATATAAAACATATAATTGCAGAAAAAAGTCATTGTTAAATGTTTCCACCCTTTTACTGAGCATATTGCTATCATAAATGGGCATTAGTCAGAAATATAAAATTGTTTTTTAATTTAAAAAATATAATGTACTGAATAAGAGGATTTATGTTATAGACTTACTTGTAAAAATTTTCTTGGATACTTTTCAAGGAAAGAAGCAAAATGATCTACCAAACATGTGTCTTACCACTGTGTATAATTTAACTTTGTAGAATTTTTAATGATTAAAATATTATAAACAGATATCCGTTTCCCAGAAGTATTTTTATTTTCTGACAAATAAATCAATAAAGACCAATATCAAATTCATATTGCGATTTGAACAGTGTACTTTCCTATTGAGTGATTAAAAGTTCTGTGAAGTTCCTTAAGCTATGATATAAAAAAACCTCTTTTACAAGATTAAACACTCAATTGTAATTTTCTTAAAGTTAGAAATCAGAAAGATAGGCTATCATCAAACTGAAAGAATTGTGAATGATTTAATGATCTTGCCTAGTTATAAAGACAGAATTGCTTGATCACAAGAACCAAACCATTTACTCAGCACTTAGCAAACATTTATTGAGCCCTTGTTGTGTGCCAGGCCCTGTGCTAAACAAATGCAGATTAAAAAGTTGAGTACACCACATCTTTTACCCTCAAAAGGTTACAAAGGGAAACTGAGGCAAATCAAGTGACAAAAAGGGAGAAGAAAGGGGTTGTGTATATATGTGTTTACTAGCTAATGAAATGTTTTTGTTTTATTTTCTAAGGATGTAGATGCTTATTTATTACAGTTGCATTGAAAGACTTCATCTACTAAAGAGCATTTGGTTATTCAAAACATCCCTGGACTATATGATTTCCAAACAAGTCTCATTGGAGAACTGTGAACTATGAAAGAAATCAACAAAATTTTCTTCTAAAGCCACATATGAAACCAATAACAAAACCCTAGCAATCTACTTCACATTGAAGTGGAAAAATATCCGAAAGGAGCAGCTTCAACTTTAATAAGGTGAAAGTGCACTATGAAGATTGTTCACCTTTGCTGCTTTTGGGATTTACATGGTTACTTGGCAAGAACTACTGGATCTTAATGCAATCCTTCATAAGAATATACTTTATACTATGTGAAAAAATAAGACAAAACTTATTACTAGGAAAAGCAAAGACCAACCATTACTTTTTTTAAGATTGTGTTTTATAAGAAAACACTCAAATGTGTGCAGCTATTTTCTTATGTTGAAAGACTTTAAAAGTTTTAAACATCATAGCAAATAATACTAAAAGTTTTTTTGTCCACACTGAGATACTGTGTAAACAAAATGCCTTAATTATTAATAAGCCAATGTATATGATACCAAGATCTGTTTTAAAAAAAAGTAAAACCAACCATGCTTCTGGCATGAAAGTTATGGAATTAAATCAGGGGTTTCCATTCATGTGGAATATTGTTAAAACTTATTCCACACCATCTTTAAAACTTGAGAATATTTTTAATATCTCTGAAATTGTTTTGCCAGAATCGTCATGCCATGTATATATGTGTTATTCTTATATAAAAGAAAGAGGTGAATATGTATTTGTATGTGTGCTTAGTTGGAAATGTTCATAGAGTTGGCTAATTTATATTCACTTTCTACTGTATATAGATTTCTAATATTTTCAGTTCTGTATCATTTAAGCTTCATTTGAGTAAATTTACTAAATATTTCCATTTTTTGCTTTTTAAAAATCTGGTTTTGTATGAATTCTAATTGTTTTTCACTACATTATGATTTAAAGAATTATATACAATGCTTTAGAAGTGTTTACAGTTAGTGCTGACCTTATATTTTGAGTTCCAATACTTTATATTACTACCTCCTCCAATGGTTGGTATGAAATGCCAGCAGACTGTATGAGGTCTTTTTTTTCTTAATACCATTTTTTGGTGTCAATGACCCCACTTGTGGAATGTCTTCACAGCTGTACTTTTTAGCCTGTCTTGAGAGTGATTGGGCTTTAAATACCACTATTGGTTCCTACATCATCTCATCTTGAATGAGCCCGAGCAAAGATTTTTAGTATCAAATTTCTGTGCAGTAATCCTTCAAGCACTTGAATGTAAGCCTTTAGCATTTACCCAATTAGTGACTACTGATGTGAATCCTAAACAAGCATTTTTATTGGTTTAAAAATATTAAAAATGTTCTCTTTTACTGAGTTCTCCTTTTGTGTAGCTATATTTCATATAGCTGTGTATTCTTCACAGTAGTAATTGGCTATTTTCTTAAATCTTTAGGATAATTTCAGAGTACTGCACTCCCTTGATTTAAGAGTTGAGTTATTTAAGAACTCATTTTTCAGGAGGTGGGAATTTGAATCGGAAACCTGCGTCATCTCTGTGAAACCTTAAGATGATGAAATATAACCTTTCTTTGTTCCTGTTTCTTTAGTTATCACTTTATCTAACAGTTTGAACCAGTTAACTCAGAGCATGGTGCTACTGAGGCTAAGGACAGGAGCTTTACAGGTTCATTCACTTTACACACATACACAGAACTATTCATAGTTACAGACTGCACCTTTTCTTAGGTATCTGTCTCACAACTTCAGCTTTTGGTCACAAGGAAGATGGTGTGTATACTTAGCATAAACCCTTCACCTCAAATAGAAAGATATCTCAAATAATTGGTATATGTAATACTGTAGACTTTGAATCTAATATTTAAAACAATATAATATTAAAAATAATAATATCTAAAATACTGTGTTATTATAATTTTCTCTGGTAAGATCATTGACTAAACAATATCTTCTAAAATTAAACTTCAATAAATCAAACTTCAGTAAAAATTAAGTACAAATGAAACATATTAAGAAAATGTACTACCTCGTTAACACTGAGTTTTTGTGCCTAACTTTGGGTTTGTTGAAGGAGAGTTGATACTCCATTTTATTTACTTGGAGCTATATAAAGCAGCAGTCTTTAGCTTACAAAGATTATTCAATACCACACATTCCTAATTCTTGGCCTTTGCAATTTGCCTTAATACCTACCTCTCACTGACTGAGTTATGATTAGTATTAGTTGATTTTAGATTCTTGATAAAAGATATTAGATAAGTAAATATTACTGAACACTTCTGTTGCTATTAAGCTCTTAACATGCTATTTAATCAGAACAGTGTTGATATCCAGAAAGAGCCAAAGAAAGTGTTTATAAAGTATTTTGGTTGTTGTATGACCTAGATTAGGACAATTGCTGTCTGTCATCACTCATTTGTGGCTGTGCTGCTAAGCAGTACACAGAACTGAGGGACTACCCAAGGTTTCTATGCCTTACTACCTCTTCTACCTTTTAGGTTTTCTGTACTGAACTTTGCTAACTTTGCAAGTCTAAGGACAGTTTATTGAGGTGATAGAGGGTTATAATCAAGTAATTTCTTTCTACTAGAAATAAAGTGAGTGGATTTTGTAATAAGTGATCATGATCAGAAAAAGGGTTAAAAGTTAGGAAGTAAGCATTATCAAATGGTTTTAAAAAATAATCTTTTGGCAGTAATTTTAAAGGTAATTGACAGATTATTTACCTGAGTCCTGAGATATGAGGATTTGGATATCTATCTACTTTGGAGAATCATTAATGTCAGCACTAAAGTCTAAGGGCAACTGAGGAATTAAATCCTTATCCATCCCCCTAAACATATTTGGTACATGTCATATCCTAACCTTAAAAATTGTTGTGTGTGTGTGTGTGTGTGTGTGTGTGTTCAAGGCTATATTTTTGGCCTTTGAAATAGTAATTTTCTCAAACTTGGAGCATTTCTACAGTTGGCAAGTTATTAATATAATTAATATTAATGGATAACTAATTTGAGTAATGATTATTACCTATTAAATACTGATAATAGAAATCATGTAAATGTTTATTTAGTTAGTTAAATGAGTCAAGGAATCTGAAAAAATGAACAAAATTTACGTTAATATTTTATTAGTCATTCCCAAGTATCTCTTCATATTTAACAACAAGATGGTAATGTCAATTGCCTTTATTGATTTGAAGGGGAAAAATATAGAATCACAAGCAGCTGACTCACTGGAGTGGTCCATTTGGATGCACTACTTCTTTTCTTTCAATATAGACTATTATTATCTGGATTACTTCAGGTGAAAAAAGTATTACTGGACATTTGTCGGTAGGTATTAACTCCTTTTTCCCCTCAATTTCCAGTTCTTCTATCTGTGAAAATTGTCATAAAACAACACACTATTCCCTCCTTTTTTATTCTGTAACAGGACTATAGAATAAAAAGTTTCTCCCTAAACACTGTATGCTTCTAATTTGTAGTATAGCTTGATTGATTCAATAACAGCACTGACTATAACAATAAAAATAAGTACTGCATATCATATACCCAGTATACTGAGTACACTTTTATGTGTTTTGTTTTTTTAATTTTTTAATTTATTTTAATTTTAGAGAGTGGAACAGGGAGAGAGAGAAAGAAATTGTCTCCCACACTTGCCCCAACATGGAATCAAACCAACACCACCTTTTGGTGTACAGGACAATGTTCCAACCAACTGAGCCACATCGGCCAGGGCCTGAGTACGTTTTTCAATGCTGTACTTATTTCAAATATTGTAGGCATTATTTTCTCAGGGTTAGATTATTGATTTAATAGTATCTGCTAAAATCAAACTTTAGTAAAAACTAAGTACATAATACAGTTGACCCTTGAACAACCCTGGCTCCCCCACCTCCTGTAGTCAGAAATTCACATATGACTTTTGATACCCCCAAAACTTAACTACTAGTAGCCTTCTGTTGACCAAAAGCCAACATAAACAGTTGCTTAACACAGATTTTGTGTTATATGTATTATATGCTATATTCTTTTTTTCAATTTAAATATATCTTATTTTTATGTTCTGGCATCTTCATTTCTCCCTCCATCATACCACTTCCACACAAAAGCATGTTGGTGATTTCATAGTAAAAAGAGCTGATTTTTCCAAATCTCTAAGGGAAGTTAGCAATGTACACATAAAACACTTTCAAAAATTATTTAAATTCATCAGTCACAATTGTTCTCTTTTTTATTGACATAAAACAGCTAAAGATGGGTTTTCCAGAGAATTCCCGTGAAGGCTTTACCAGGGGAAAAATTGTAGGACACACACCACGAAACAAGAAGAAAAGTTTACACCAGGTCAGTGATTTACAGGTCCTAGGTTAATGAACTGATAAGACGTGGGATGAGGAAGAATAACAGTAGCAAGAATGCATTGTTGGCAGACTTGAGTAGGGGAAAGGGAAGGTTGACCTGAGGAAGGAGAGGTGGTGCTAAGTATGACAGCTGGCAGGTGGGTCATCAAAGGCCCACTTACACCATCAATACCTATGGGTCATCCTCATCACTGCACAGAAGATGCCTTTTTGAGTATTAAATTGGCATCCTCTAAAGCAGTGGTTCTCAACCCTCTGGCCCTTTAAATACAGTTCCTCATGTTGTGACCCAACCATAAAATTATTATCGTTGCTACTACATAACTATAATGTTGCTACTGTTATGAATCGTAATGTAAATATCTGATATGCAGGATGGTCTTAGGCGACCCCTGTGAAAGGGTCGTTCGACTGCCAAAGGGGTCGCGACCCACAGGTTGAGAACCGCTGCTCTAAAGTATCTCTCCCCTTTGGGAAAAAAATGTCCTGGTATTCAACACCTCCGACCTCCCTCATTCTTCAGAATGCTGCTGTTTAAACTTGAGACTTTCTTCAAAATCATTTTAGTTGGTTGTGCATTTTACAATCTGCACAGGGAAACTGAGGCACAGTTGGAGACTTTTCTACAAAGTGTCCCAGCATAACACCATATTTCTATACAAAGCCTTGTTGAGAGTATTACAGATGTCCCCCCTTTTCCCCCTTTACCTCCCTCCACTCATTTCTCACCCTGCCCTAGGCTTTCACCACCCTATTGTCTGTCCACAGGTAATGCATATATGCATATAAGATCTTTGGTTGATCTCTTCCCACCCTTCTCCCCCTTCCTTCTGAGATTCATTAGTGTGTGCCATGCTTCCATGCCTCTGATTCTATTTTATTCATCAGTTTATTTTGTTCATTAGATTTCTTGTTTGTTTATTTTGATTTTTAAATTCAATTATTGATAGATATGTATTTGTTGCCATTTTGTTGTTCATTTTGATCTCTTCTGCTTCTCTTCCTCCTCTTCCTTCCTCCTCCTCCTCCTCCTCTTCCTCTTCTTCGTAAAGAATATCCTTCAACAATAGTTTGATGGTGATGAACTCATTTAGCTTTTCTTGTTTGTGAAGCTCATTATCTGACCCTCAATTCTAAATGAGAGCTTTGCTGGTTAGAGTATTCTTGGTTTTAGGTCCTTGCTATTCATAACTGAATATTTCTTGCCACTTGCTTCTGACCTGCAAAGTTTTTGTTGAAAAATCAGCTGACAGTCATATGGGCACTCCCTTGTATGTAACTAACTGCTTTTAATAATCTCTGTTTGTCTTTAACCCTTGGCATTTTAGTTATGTGTCTTGGTGTGGGCCTCTTTGGGTTCCTCTTGTTTGGGACTCTTTGTGCTTCCTGGACTTGTAAGTCTATTTCTTTTACCAAGTAGGGGAAGTTTTCTGTCATTATTTCTTTAAATAGGTTTTTAATATCTTGCTCTCTCTATTCTCCTTCTGGCATCCTCATAATGTGAATGTTGGTATGCTTGAAGTTGTCCCAGAGGCTCCTTACACTCTCTCATATTTTTGGATTCTTTTTCTTTCTGCTGTTCTGATTGGGTGTTTTTTGCTTCCTTATATTCCAAATCATTGATTTGATTCTCTGAATTCTCTACTCTACTGTTGAATCCCTGTAAATTATTCTTTATTTCAGTTAGTGTATGCTTAATTTCTGACTGGTCTTTTTTCATGTCTTTGACATTCTCATTAAGATCCTTGAAAGTCTCATGAAGATCCTTAAATAACCTTGTAACCATGGTTTTGAACTCTGTATCCAGCAGTTTGCTTGCTTCCATTTCTTTTGTTTGTGACATGTTTCTTTGTCTTCACATTTTGGCTGCTTCCCTGTGTTTATTTCTATGTATTAGGTAGAGCTGCTATGTCTCCAGGAATTGGTAGAGTGGTCTTGTGTAGTAGGTGTCCTATAGGACCCAGTGGCTCAGCCTCCTCAGTCAGCTGAGCTGGGCACTCTAGGTGTGCCCCTTTGTGGGCTGTATGCACTATCTTCTTGTAATTGATTGCTATTGAAATCACTGGGAGGAATTACCCACAGGCCTATGAGGACCAGCTGTGACTACAGTGAAAGAACTGCTGTGCAGGAGACACCCTATGGAGCAGGACTTGCTTCAGTGAGGCTTTGGTGCTCACTGAGTCTGCCTCTTGAGTGTGTTGCATGTGGTGTATAGAATGTAATCTGCTATGTCTGAAGCAGTTCACTGGGTGCACTAGCTCTAGGGCCTCAGGGAGGTGCAGAGTCAGCTACTGGCTGGGCCACCCAACAGGAGCTGCAGAGGGAACTGCAGAAGGCTGCTATTTGCTATTTGGATTGGGCTTGGAGGTGCCCAGGTGAAGCCCAGCTGCAAAGCAAGGCAGGTTGGTGCTAGCGCTGGGTCTTGGGTCTTTTAATGATAGTTTTGGGGCACTCTTTCACCAGCTGCAGCTTGTTTGAGAGATTTTAGCAAAGTCTGAAGCCTGAGCCAGGACAGGCCATTCATATGGAAAAGCTGCTGCAAACAGCTTGGATGGGGCAGGGTGTCCGGGAATCCCCAGGGTGGAGCAAACAGTGCTCCATGCTGATGGAGACTCAGATATGGCTACCAGTCAGCCCTGTGATAAGGGAGGTCCCAGTACAGGAACAATGACCCCTGCAAGCACTCCTGTCTGGGAGAAAGCCAGACAGTCCAGTTCCTCCCTGAGTTCCTTCCCTGATGCCAGACAATCCAGTTCCTCCCTGTATGTGTCTGGGTCCCCCAAAGCTGACCAGGTGCTGGGAGTTCAAATAAGTTTGTGCACCGGCCCTTTAAAAGGAACACCTGGATCAATCTCCAGGTCACTCAGTCACAATCCCCGCTGGTTTTTACAGCCCATAGTTTTAGAGACTTCTCTTCCCAGTTCTGGAACCCTGTGCTGGGGATCTGGGGGTCTGGTTTGGGACTAGGACTCCTTGCTCCTTACAGGCAGCCTCCACAGAGACTATCTCCCTCCCAATTAAAGAAAAAACAGTTCATGTGGGTATAGACCAGCCCATTCCGTGCCTCCGCCCCTCCTACTACCAGTCTCAGTGTGCTTTCTTCTTTACTTCTCTAGTTGTAGGACTTCCATTCAGCCAGCTTTCAGGCGGTTCTGAATGATGGTTCTGTATTTTAGTTGTAATTTTGATGTGGTAGTGGGAGTCAGCGAATATAGGCATTTACCTACATCACCATCTTGGTTCTCTTTGTATATTCGTATACTATATTCTTAAATAAATAAAATAAACTGGAGAAAAGAAAATTGTTATTAAAATCATAAAGGAGAGAAAATACATTTACAGTATTGAAAAAAATGCATATAAGTGGACCTGCACAGTTCAAACCCATGTTGTTCAAGGGTCAATACCACAGTATTTTCTTTTATAGCCTGTAATTAATCATAAAAAAAGGGCAGTTACTGTACAACAGTAATTCTATGAATAGGCAGCCCCATAGTTGCCAGTGTTTTTCATAGCAAAGCTAGTTATATAGTATTGCTTTGATACACAAATGATAATTTTCTGAATTATAAATTTCTCAGATAAGAGATGCCAAGAGCCTGAATAAGGATTTAGCCCCTAAATACACTTGATTCTTATGTTTTACAGTATTCTGTATTTTCACCCAGATTTAAATCAGGATTTTTTTTTTTTTTTAATGTCCTAGACCCAGGCAAGTCTGTTTTGACTCTGGATTTACACCAAAGCTAAGAAGAGTTGATCCAAAGTATTTTCTAGGATAAGAAAGAGTTATTGTGGGTTTCCCAGAATATACTGAATTGCCAGATTTACTTGCTTCTAGGGTTATTTTATTGCATTTATCAACCAAACTTTCATCATGGAGCCTGGACTAGAATTAGACCTCACCTTACAAGAGTTAGGAGCTAAGTTAGCTAACATTTACTTTCCTACTTTATTTAAAAAGAAAGCAAGAAGCAAGAGAGAATAATAACTGCAGCTTAGCCTCAACAACAGCAGGAGAAATGAAGGTTGATACCTTTCTTTTAGGCAGGTTCTAAAGCTTACAAAATGTTTAGAAGAGGCTTATCATTTTTCCTTCGCCATCCAGATTCCTTTTCTGCTATTCAGAATAGATGATAAGAAATCATCAAAGGGGTGAAACCAACTCACTTTTTAATCTCTTCTTTGAAGGTGCCTCTGCCTGTCCCTTAGACATTGGTGTTCTTCAAGTTTCTGTCTTATGGTCTTTCTCACTGTACCATTTCCCTGAAAAATCCTCTTATTTTCATGGCTTCCTTTACCATCAACATTAATTCTTCTCATTTTTAGAGTGGAAGAAAGGTCATTTTGGGGTTCAAGTAGACATGGATTTTTTTAAAGGTTGAGAAATCATTGAACTGTATGTTTATCATTCTCAAAAACATGTCTTGCCCTAAACCTAACTTAGCCCATAAATTATTTATTCATTGCCTACTGGAAGCATCCATTGGGATATCTTGTAGATATATTAAATGCAATATATCCAGAATTGACCTCATTCTCTACCTCCACTTCCCTCCACCAACCCTACCCGACCCCCGACCCCACCCCCACACAGAGGGACAAAAAGTCTATTCTTGCTGTATCCTGGGTTTCCATTCTCATTGAAAAGCCCTAACATCAGCATTTATCAAGCCACAAACCTGTAAATCATCTTTGAATCATCTCCAACTCACTGAAATCCTGTTGGAGCACTCCCCTAAATTTTACCTTTCTATATCTCTCCACCTTTCCTGCCATTATCGTAATCTACATTGTTACAGCGGCCTCCTGACTCTGGCGCTTGTCCTTCATTCCTACAGCTCGGTCTCCATACATGCTGCCCTGGAGTAGTCTATAAAGCACAAGTCTTACTCTGTCACTCCTGAGGCCTCTTAGGACAGAGTCTGAACAGTGGGATTTACAATCTTTTGACAACATTTCCTCTCCTCCCAAGTGCTCTAGCTAGAATGAACTTGTTTCAGTGTCCAGAAAGCATTACACTTTCTCTGCAAATGCTTCCTTTGTCTGAACACTATTGACCCCCAAGTTCACACAGTTATTCCTTTCTTAGCCTTGAAGTCTCAGCCTAACACAGTTCTCTGGAAAGCCCTCTCTGGAGCCTCTTCAGCTGTTAGAGGTCTCTGGCCACAACTCTTGTCTCAACCTTGTTCTCTTAACACTACTTATCAGTGTTTTGTAATGTTTATTATCTATCTTCCCAGCTAGATTAATAGTTTCATGAGATCAGAAACTCACGTCACATCCCCAGTATCTAACATAAAGCTTGGCAATTAGTAGGCATTTGAAGGCCTGGGGTGGGGCAGGAGCCTGGGGGAGAGGAGCAAAGAGGGAAAATAGGAGACATCTGTAATACTCTCAACAATAAGAATAAATTTTTTAAAAATGCAAGGGTGTAGCATCTTTGGAAATACATTGTATGAGGAAGTAATTTAGTAGTAATCCAAAGCTATTTCTGATAGCATAGCAGCTAAAAATGAGTGGTTCCAAAATAAATATAACCAGTTTTCTTCTCTCACTTTTTTTTGTTTTAGATTAGTTTATAAATGCTTATGCTATAACAAAATAAAACTTCAGCTAACATGTGTTTGATTCTTAAAGGTTGTTACATTTGTTTTTCTATTGTATGGTTTCTACATTCCACACAAAATCCATGCAAATGAGGACCATATATACAGTGCAAAATTAAGATATTTCTGATAATATGTAAAATACATGTTTTTTTCTTGAAATTAATGTTATCCCTTTGTGTTTGTTTCTTTTCTGTTTTTATCTTAGAATTATTGAGAATCATGTGAAATAGTATGTTTCTTTTTAAAATTACTATTATACTTTCATACCTACTTATGAAAGTATAATAATGAAAAGAAGAAAATTAAATAACCATAATATCACCCACCTAGAGGAACAATTATATCTCTCCTAGATTTTCTCTTATGTGTATGCATTTTTAATACAAATGAATTTCATATATTTAATATAGTTTCCTACTTTCCATACACTGGAAAGCTTTTTGTTTAATCAAATACACAAAAGGGTTTTTTCCATGGGAAAAACACAAACAAAAAATATTTTCTACTAAGTCTGTTTATTGAGGTGCTTCTAACTGAATACATTTCTCTTCTGCCTAAATGTTTTTTTAGTTTCTACATGCTTAGTAATCTACACCTGGCCCTGGGTGGGGGTAGCTCAGTTAGAGCATCGTCCTGGTATACCAATGTTGTGGGTTTGATCCCTGGTCAGAGCACATACAAGAAGCAACCAAGTGGAACAACTAATGGATGTTTCTCTTTCTCTCCCTTCCTCTCTCTCTAAAATCAATGAATTAAAAAACTTTTTAAAAGTAATCTGCATTCTGTCCTGGAGGAAATTTAATGCTAGAAATGGAGAAAACTGGTCAGAGAGAAGCAACCAAGTGGAACAACTAATGGATGTTTCTCTTTCTCTCCCTTCCTCTCTCTCTAAAATCAATGAATCAATGAATTTTTTAAAAGTAATCTGCATTCTGTCCTGGAGGAAATTTAATGCTAGAAATGGAGAAAAATATTAATGGTGAGTAATATCAACAGAGGTAGGTAAAGCTAATATATATATATGTGACTATTACACTTTGCCTAGAATCAACCCACTATTCTGTGCTGTAATCAACCATAAAGATTATTATATCTTGCCCTAACTGGTTTGGCTCAGTGGATAGAGCGTCGGCCTGCAGACTGAAGGGTCCCAGGTTCGATTCCGGTCAAGGGCATGTGCCTTCGTTGCGGGCACATCCCCAGTGGGGAGTGTGCAGAGGGCAGCTGATCGATGTGTCTCTCTCATCGATGTTTCTAACTCTCTGTCCCTCTCCCTTCCTCTCTGTAAAAAATCAATAAAATATATTTTTAAAAAAAGATCA